ACTGATCCTCACTTTAGAAAGATGCAAGAGAAGGCACTCCAAAAAGACAAGCCTCACCATGAATATTTAAAAGAACTGCTAATCTCTCATTTTTGAATTGTTTTTCTTTTTTAAATTCAATTAATATTTTACCATCAAAAAGAAATGACAGATGAATTTTCGAGGCTTTAATATCATCTCTGGCTTGTTTATTTATTAATAAGTTTACTTTTGTCATATGTGACCAAGTTACTGAAATACTGCAATGTAATTTACTAGATCACCACCAGCTTAATGAACAACAGAAGTCACAACTTTTTGAAGAACTGCAAAAGATTTATCACTGACACTACCACTCTAAATATATTTATAGAATAATATAAATATATTTATTAAATAAGTTTACTTTATTTAAAGATAATAATATCTTTAGGAATTTTGCATGTAATTGATTTTACAGAATTTGTTTATTTTCTACTTGTCCAGTCGCCAAGTTCAAAGTCTGAATCATTTGATGTTTCTATATCATTTTCATCTGCACTTGTTTCCTGTTCTAAATTTGCTTTAACTCTGAAAATATTGTGTTTTCTTTTGAAAGTTTTTTTTATCTAGTACCCTCTCTAGACATTATACTATATTTTTTATCTCTAGTTCTGAGGGTAAACTTTTTATGGCTTTATTGATCATCCAAAAAGTTCAAAACTTCAATTTTGTCTTTATCTTTTCTTATCCATCATAATGATATCTCCAAGATTTGGTGTACCAATTCATTTTTGATTTTCAGTAAAAAATTACTTGGTCTTTTTAAATCTGAAGTTGATCCTCTCTTTTCATGTTTTTAAAAATGGTAGCATTCTTCTTCCAGATTACAAAGATGCTTTCTAGTATTTTTGTCAGAAACTATTGGGAACCCAACTTTGTTCCCAGGAACTTTAATCATAGGCAAAATGCAATTGCATTTGCTACACTGAATCTTTTCCATGCTTTTCACATATTTTGCCAATGTAGATTTAATGTAATAAAAGTTTTTCAGTATATCCAATCCAGCTGGAAGCTGCATAGCTTAACATTTTTTTAATTTCTATGAATTATATGCACATTTCAATACTTATTCCAATATTTATTAAAATTTTTTTTTTATCCAAGACTGTTTATTTTTGTATATATTAAGTTGAAAATTGCTTAAACTCATAAAATAATTAAAAATATTTAAAATGTTTAATGGTTACACGATATTTAAATTCTTTATGTTATAATTAAATGATAGTGATAAGTCTATAGCATCATTATTTGATATATAAAATACATGTGTATGTAACTAAAGAGTATATTGTACAGCACTTTGTTTGACTAAAATAAAAAATCTCCTAACAATGCTAGTTTAACTTCTCCAATTAGAAAAAAACACCTCTTTTCTTAACATAAGATCTGTTTTTTCATTTCTACTTTTAATTTCTTTGTTGTTCATCATAAATCTGCATAAATGTGTGAAAAAAAAAAACAAACAAAAAAAAAAACTAAAGTACCGTAAAATTGGGTGGCTTTGGCCCTACGAGATGACTTTAGCCCAACAGAAATTTTTGTTTAAAAATGGTTTAAAATCGAAACCTTAAGGTATGCCGGTTGATGTTTAGTAGCAAATTGTTGGAATTTTTTTATTTATTTAGTTTAACTTAGTTTACTTAACTCGAGTCTTTGTGATATTATTGTAAATTGCACTTTAGAAGAAGCACCTAAAATCCAAATTTTTTTAGGTGTGTAAACTTTTTCATCGATAGCAGTACCTGTAGAAGGTTTTTTATTGGAATATACACTGAATTAATTTTTAACCATTAGTGTTTGATTCTATCTTGTTTTGAAAACTTAACAGTTTATTACTTTTTTGTAATTGAGGTTAAAAAAAGTAGGTTGTCTTCGGCCCACTACATAGGGTGACATTGACCCGGGCTAAAGTCACCCCATGTATTAGAGTAAACCTTTTTTAGTGATCATTTATAGATATTATGGTAGTTACTATGTTGGAATGAAAAATTTTGGAGTAGTAATGCAATTTTAAAAAGTATGGTGGTAAAAATATTAAAAAGTATGGTGGTCAGCAAATAATTACATCAAAAGAAGACATGTTTAAGGCATATGCAATAAAATCATCTGAGTTTGGTTTTCCTGTTGATAAATATGATTTAAGATGCATAGTAAAAGGGTATTTAGAGAAAAAAGGCGTCATTATACCTCAGTTCAAAAATAATTTTCCTGGTGGTGATTGGATTCGATCTTTTTTAAAAAGAAATTCAGAACTCACAGTAAGATTTGCAAGCAACATAAAGCGAAAGAGAGCAGAAATAGGAACGACTATGATTGATAACTACTTTATAAATCTATCAAATGAAATAAGTAATATATCACCTAATAATATATGAAATTATGATGAAACCAATCTCAGTGATGATCCAGGTAAAAAAAAAAAATTAACAAAGCGTGGATGTAAGTATCCTGAACGCATCATTAATTCTACAAAGACCTCATTCTCTATAATGTTTTGTGGCAATGCTAATGGTGAATTGCTACAACCTTATGTTGTTTACAAAGCTGAGTCGTTATGGAATACATGGATGGAACATGGGCCACCAAAAGCTCGTTATAACAGATCAAAAAGTGGTTGGTTTGACTCAACATGTTTTGAGGACTGGTTTTTCTCTTTACTTCTTCCAAGACTTAAGAAGGCTCAAAGAAGAAGTGTCATTATAGGTAATAACGTATCTTCACATTTAAGCATTGCAGTACTGGATGCATGTCAAAGCAATAACATAGGATTTGTCGCATTACCAGCAAACTCTACACATCTCACACAGCCATTAGATGTTGCCTACTTTAGACCTATGAAGATTAACTGGCGCAAAATATTATGTGAATGGAAGGAGAAAGGAAAAGGAAGAAAAGTTGCTTCTCTTCCTAAAGATGAATTTCCTAGACTTTTAGACCGTTTAATTACCAACTTGAGTGAACATGGGAATGATAACCTTAGAGCTGGTTTTCACAAAACTGGAATTTTTTCATTAGACAAGTCTTGAGTGCTTTCGCGACTACCATGTTGTAATGTAGGTTTAGACTCAACTACTGATTCAGTAAGCCAATCATTTTTAGATCATATATGTAAGTCACTGGATGATCCCTCAGATGGTTCTAAAAAACCAAAGCGATGTAAAGTATGTGTTGCCCCGGGTAAAAGCTGATGTTCAACAAATATATCAACTTGTGTTATAAATAAAAATAATAGATTAAATTCAAATAATGTAGATACACCTATTAGTATTATAAATACAATTGAGACCAACAACATTGACTTTGCTAATCCAAGTACAAATACTGGAACTACTGAAACTTCTAATCTAATTTTTGCAGATGTAAGTTTAGTTGTAGAAAGTCATACAGAATATTTTGATCATTTAGCATTAGGCAAAAAGAACTTTCAAAATATTGGTAAAACAAAAAATGCTTGTAAAAAGGAGAAATTATTAAATCTTGTAGAGAATTGTTATGTAATTGTTAAATGCAATGGAGAGTTAAATCATGGACAGGTTTGTTTATTTATTTTGAGCTATTTATATTTAGCTAATCAATTAGTAAACTTTATAACTAATTAATTTTATAACTAATATTATTTAATGAAACTTTAAAAAATTTTTTTTCTGCAGTTGAAAAAATTAAGAAAAAATGGAGCAGAAATTACTATTATGAAAAAAAATGGACTTAACTGGAAATGGTCACTACCAGCAGAGAAACTTTTTTTCCCCCAGTCTGAAATAGTCGATTTTATTGAGGAACCAAAGAAAATTTTGAAAAAAGGAATTTATTCAGTTCCAGAACTTTTTCACTAAATTTTTTAAAACATTATTTTTGTCATTTTTGTTTACTTTATACCTAAACTGTTTTGTTTACTTGGTACCTATACTTGTTTAGTTTGTACCTATATTTTATTTACTGTATACAAGAACTTTGTTACTAAATCTTTTTTTGTCACTTTATTTTTGTAAATTTATTTTCTTTGCCTAAATATTGTTTTTTTTATTGTTGTTTTGCTTCCTTTAATTCCTTTTTACAGGGTTGGGCCAAAGTCACCCTAACACATAAGGGCGACTTTGGCCAACCATTTAAAACACCCAAAAGATACTTCAGGTAAATAATTTTCAAATGGGAGACAGATAGTTCCTAACTTTCCTTTCTATGCGCTTCTAAAAGTACTTAGTGTTTGAGGAAATAACTTTTGTGGCTTTTATGCAATAGACATTAAAATGCAAAATGGGCCAAAGCCACCCAATCTTACGGTACTTAAAAAAAAAAAAATAATATAAAAATAAATAAATAATTAAATAAAGAAAAAAAATAAAAAAATAAATAAAAAATAATAACAATAAAAATAAAACAAACCATAAACTCCAAAATCATAAATTCCTCTAAATTTCTGCTGCAAACTTCTATTAGGTTAATAAGTACTTTATTTTTTTATAGTCTAAAAAGGTAGAATTGTTATTATGACAAATATTATGAAATAATTATCAAATAGAAAATTAAGTCTTGAAGAATTTTAAAATAATCTAATATATTTACAGAAAAAAAGTAGGAAGTTTCTTTGAAATGATTTTTAAACTATTATACTAATAAGTTTAGAAATTTTTTATAAACTTTAAAATGAAAACACTTTTTTAAATATGAGAATGACTAATTTCTAATTCTTCACTTACAGTGTTACATATGATTTAAGCAGACTTTCCTTTCCCATGTTTTCTTGTTAATTTGTTTTTATTAAACAGGCTTGTAGCAATATAGCTTTTATTTTCATAAATTATGAAATATAAGCTTTAAGGTTAAGTTTAATAAGCCATTTTTATTTTATTTTTATTTCAATATTTTTTTTATAAAGTTTTTTTTTATATATAATAAATTTTTTTGTTTGTTTGTTTTAAAACTTACCTTTAGCATTTAAACTAAAGTTTTTATAACAAATATAAGTTTTTTAATTATAGACTTTGATAGTGGAAGCTGTCCTCCAGTTCCTATAAAAACAAATTGCCCACCTCCTTTATTAACTTCTACTAGTTGTTTGGTTGATAGTGATTGTGAGACTGGGAAACAATGTTGTTCAGATGGTTGTGAACTGAATTGTGTTGTTCTTAACAAAACTAAAATTAATGCAGGTAAAATATAAATTCCAATATATAATTTTATATCAATCAGCAATAAAAATGCATTATTATATTATAAGACAGAAAGTAAAAATTTATTTCTTATCAGTCATAATTTTTTATTAAATAAAAATTTATTGATATTATTAAAACAAAAGTAACATATATTGCTTTATTGCCTTATTTTATGCTTTTTTTCAATTATTGATTGGTAAAAACAAACAGAAAATAAGAATTTGGGAAAAAATGAACTGTTTTTTGAACTGTTCTTTTTTATATAATAATTTTCTTTGTTAAATTTTTGTTTTATTTTTATTTTTAATTGTTATTTAATTGAATTTTAATTGTTTCTTTCTCTTTTACAGTAATGTGTTGGTATTAGGCATTAGTGTCATTTCTATGCTACTATATATATATATAACAATTAATAATGCTGTTTTTGGTTTTGTAACTACATATGTTTATCTAACATTTATTCCGATTAATTAGTTACATGCAATTTAAAATTAATGTAGTTACCTGTGGTAATTATATTAGGTATGTTATTGATATTATTTCAACAAATGTTATTAAAAAAAGGCTAACTCTAACTTAAAATACTCCCTTGTCTTGCAATTCTTGGTTGAATAAAAGCTAGAGATGTTGTCTCTAAAATTCATCTAGATTAGGTTTAAACTGTATCCTGTTAAATTTTTGAAGAGAACCTCTTTAATGGATAAGCAAAAGTTTCTGTTGCCCAATCTCACACTGGATCACTCACACTGTCTCACTCCATCTAAACAGATGTCATAGGTGTAAACCTGACATCTCTATCTAGCCCAATCAGCCTTCTTGCTAGTATTAGCAAGGTCTTTTCTTTTTTTAAATTCACAAACTTATATCTCATCTTAAATCCAATAACTTATTCTCTGAAAGTTAATATAAATTTTGTTCTTCTTGTTCTACTGCTGGCTTGTAAGAAGCAGTAAGACATTGCACCTGTTGCAATCTATATTAAAGATCTTCTTGATTTTGATTCAGCTCTATTTTCTGATTTTGATAAAAAGTCATTACTTTTTAGTTTGTGGCTGGTAAATTTTAACCGTAACGAAACTCAGTTGTTTACTGCAAATAATAATTGCAATTTTGTTGATATTCCTATATTTATGAATGACAATACTTACACTAACTTCTCCAGTTAAATCCTTCTTGGAATTTCTTTCACTTCTGACCTTTCATGGCAATCATATATTCATTGCAAAAGTAGCATTGCTAAGCATCTTATTATTGTGCTTGCCTTTGCTAATAATCTTTTTATTGTTCTTGCCATTTTCATACTCCTGATTCCATTCTCTACATCTTTTTTTTTTTTTATGAAACACTCTTGTCACAATTGAGCTAATATTTCTAATGATGCCATTTCTCTTTTTGACAAAGACCAAAAAGATTGTAGTTAGACCTGCTCTTGTTGCTAAGTTATGGCGCTGTGTGTACTATAACTATAAGATTACATCTCTTACTTTTTTTCTACAAATTGTTGATCAAAAAAGCTTTCATCTCAAGTTCCACCAAGCTTTTGTGACTTGTAATTTAGCTGCAACTTGTCATTCTTTTGTTAAAACTTTTCTCTTTATTTTAAAAAAAACATGTACTCATCTATTTTTTCCCTCTAACATCAATGCTTTGGAATCCTCTTCAGTCTTTATATTTTCCTAATAATTTAAAGTTTTAAAGTCTTCAGTCCACTTTTTTGTTCTTCAACATTCTACTTTTATTTCTATTATCCTTTAAGTAGAAGTTACTTAGAGCCTATGTTGAGGTTCAAACATATTTTTGGCGTCTATTATAGGATTATTAAACAAAGACCAACTGATTTAGTCTTTTTAAACATATATAAAGCATATATATATATATATATATATATATATATATATATATATATATATATATATATATATATATATATATATATATATATTATATATATAATATATATATATATATATATATATATATATATATATATATATATATATATATATATATATATATATATATATATATATATATATATATATAGAGAGAGAGAGAGAGAGAGAGAGAGAGAGAGAGAGAGAGAGAGATAAAACATTGAAACGAGGTCGGCAAAAATTTGCTGACCTTAAACACTTTCAGGTCGGCAGTTAGATCGGCAATGCCTAATGCTAACCCTAATTTCGAGGGTTGACATATATATATATATATATATATATATATATATATATATATATATATATATATATATATATATATATAAATATATATATATATATATTGGAATGATAAGTAATATTTGTTTTATATTTTTGTTCATCAGTATATAATTTGTATTATCATTATATTAAGTTTGTCTTTAATTAAATATAAAAATGTTGATATTCTATCAGTTAATAATGACAAAGGTCAAATAACAAGAAAGGTTTTAATGAATTTTGTATATTTTAGTATAATCTTTCTTCGCCTACAAACCACCCAATATTGATTGTTTTTTTTAATTAAATAAAATCAATTATTGAATGATTATTCATATTGGTGGAATTCTTTTTATTTAAAACTAGAACTAGAACTCATTTGGGAATCCTAGATTTATTGCTTTGAAGAATTAATAAATTTCATTCTGTTAGATTCAAATAAATTTCCCCAGCATAGATAAGTGTTACTTGAACTCGATTTACTATTGACTAAGAAACCTTTGTAGATTCATCGAAAAGGTTTTAATTCAATCTAAAGGTTAACAACATTATCAAGCTTAATCAACATTACTGCTTGCTTAAAGAGTTGTCGGTTTGATTAAACAATGCAAAGCATTAAAATATTGAGAAATTGTGCTTTTGTTATTGTTGCTCTGTTGTATACAAATAAGAGGTATATAAATGTTATGACCAATCTTTTTTAACCATTTTGTAAATCAAATGATGGAACAAGTTATATACATGTTATATACCAAATGATGAAATAAATTGTATCCATATTGATCCTCCTAGCATTTAAAGCAATTTCCTTGTTCTATAGAATTAAAACTGTCAGCTAATTGTTTTTTATTGTAAGAATCTTAATGTACACATAAAATCAAATTTCTTCTTTCATAAAATGAAATGGGCGATTAGGCAGCTGTATTTTTTTTTCTTTCTCCATTTTGTTTTGTTTTTCAATTTTTTGAAGTAGCACATTTGGATTTGGAGAGCTTAAAAATCTTCAAAGTTCTAAATATTTTTGATATAATTGATAAAAAACAAGTATTTTGATAAATTGAACAAGAAAAAAAATGTAGTAGTTTTGGCTACATCAAACTGTTCTTTTAATTGTTGTTGACTTGCTGTTTCTGTTTTCTTTGTAATTTTTTAGAATCTGATCCTAAAAATTTTTAGTTTAGTTGGAGTTATTACAAAGAATCAGATTGCGGTCTTAAATCAGAAATAACAACATCTTCAAATATATTTAAATTTATTACTTATAAAACATTAGTTTCATATTTATCAAACTTCTTTTAATAAACTTAAAAAACAGACTCCAAAACAAATAGAGCACTTGGAAAGAAGTTCAAGAAACAAAAGTAATATACAAAATTTAAAAATAAAAAACTCAAAAAAATTAAAATTTATTAGTTATTGTGTTATAATCATTCACATCAATGTTATATGTTTGCCCTGATTTTGTTGTTGGGACATTGATTACTGCAATCAATCTCGACAATGGTACCCAACAGATATCATCTCTCTGTGCCAAATGAAGTTTTGAGAAGGACCATGAGGGTGCATAACTTAATTTGAATATTATTTGTAGTAATATCTATCTCTGTAACCATGCCTATCCTCCAAAAGGAATCATACTTGCATGCAACAAAATCATTTAGGTTTGGTACAATTACAACATCAGACATTACTGCTTTTGACAGTATAAATCTGTCAACACATTGATGTTCGCTTGTTCTTTTAAAACTAATTTCAAATTTTGAAATGGGTATGTAATGATGATAACTTCAGGTACCTGGAACAGTTTTTCCTTTTTCAAATCACTCCTTTAGTTCCTATTGTCTTGCATTAACTGTTTCTTTGGTAGTTTTATAAAATATGATTGTGTTTATATTGGTGATGTAAAACTCAAGCTGTCAATATTTGGTTTTCCAATGGCCTTTGCAAACTTTCTCTTGCTGTTATTTTTTTAATGGTACCACCTATGCCACCACAAGCGGATTTTCCATGGCTGGTTGCGAAAAATGCCCATTCAGCTGTAATCTTGAAATCTTCCATGGCTGATTTCCTTATGATAGCATTTATATAGTACTTATAGTTTTTATAATAAAGAAATAAGAAAATAAGAAATAAATAAGAAAAAAAAAATAATTTTATTGATCCATCAGAAAAAAAATTAATTTTATTGATACCAACTAAATATTCTTAAATATACTCTACAATTTTCTTTTGAAATTCATACACAAAGCATATATTGTGATCATTGTCATCACTTAAAAAACAGAATGACTTATGCTGAATATTTGTTTTAGAAAATTCCTTAAAATATATAATAACAGGATGAAGTGTACATTGTTGTTTATTCCAATGATAACTTTGTATTTCATCATGTATAACAAATTGATAGTTCTCTGCAAAATCTGCTTGTATAATACATTCATTTTAACCTAAATTATTTTTTTGGCTTTTTCAAATTGCAAGTTGGGCATTTAGCAATATATAAATGTGAAGTTAGATAATTAATGTGAGAAACAACTAGTTTTTTATATTGAAATAAGTTAACTGTCTGAGTAATTAATTGTGATCTATCAGTAATTTGCAATTGATTAAATTGAATTTCTTCTTCTTCATCAATCTCAATTAATTCCTCATCTAAAAATGCCTTTAAGCCATTAAAATGCCTTTTAAATGCCATTATTGCTTATATCACATACTCATTTTGACATTAAATCTTTGTATGTAACATCCCATTGGACAGCATTTACAAGCAATATTGAATTTTGGTGGTGAACACAAACACATACACAGTGTGTAGCGTTTAGTCCCACACTAATACACCATTTTGGATCTAAACTACAAAACTCTGAAAATCCTATTTTAAAATTAGGGTATTTACTTTTAATATCAATATAAAGCTCATGAAGGTTGCACAATAGTAGTCTTTTTTGTTGTGGACCACTTTTAACCTTAATACAATCTTTTTTACAAGGCATAATTCTAGAATGCTCATCTTGTTGAAAAAATCTTGAACCAAAGCTGTAAGAAAGTCAGATATTTTTTGGCCTATTTTCTTATCAGGTATAGCGAGAATTCCATTTTCACTTTTAAGTTTCCTAGCACGTCATATAAGATGTTCAGAAACTTCAAAATATTCTGAAGCATATTTTCTAGTCCAAGATTCAGGTGTAAGTGTTAATATTTGAATTTTTTTAAAATGGTTCTACTTTAAGTTTTTCTTTCATTAAAGTTGTCAAATGATCAAGATCATTTGCTTTTTTTTATCTGTAGGATGACTGGAAAAAGTTGAGACTACACTTAAGTTATCTATATTTACTCCATAAGCACTTGCTACTCCTTCCAATTTTTTGTAGGCTTTGACTAGTTTTCTTTTTGCTGTTACAACTTGTTGATGCTTTGCAACTCCATGAACTTTAATTGGCGAGACTCCAAGAGAGTCTGTCAGTCTGTTTGTTAAAGGTAAATCTTGTAATAAACAACAGTTAGACAGCTCTAAAGAGTTGTCTAACTGTTGTTTATTACAAGATTTTTTTTAACAAATGATACATCACCATCAATTTCACACCCTATTTCATTATCAGAAACTTTATTACAATTTGACAAAAACTGAAACATGAGCAACAAAATTTCCATTCTGGTTTACAATCTAGATTTTTGGATTTAAGGTTATGAGCCATTTTAAGAGATATGGTTGTTTGATCTAAAATAAAATTATTAGTTTTTAATAAACATATTCTGTTTCTAAATTTATATATATATATATATATATATATATATATATATAATATATATATATATATAATATATATATATATATAAATTAAATATATATATATATATATATATTTATATATATACATTATATAAATTTATATAATATATATATATATATATATATATATATATATATATATATATATATATATATAATATATATATATATATATATATATTATGTATATATATATATATATATATATATATATATATATATATATATATATATATATAATATATATATATATATATATATATATATATATATATATATATATAAGTTAGTATATATTAAATATATATATATATATATATATAAATTTTTTTAAAAATATATATATATTTTTTTTGTTTCGAATCGAATCTTGAATCAAAGTAGGTCTTGATTTGCAATTTGAATTACCTTTGGAATTAACATTTTGAAATCTAAATTTTAGCATTTTTTATTAATAATATATATTTCAAAATAAAATAAAAACAAACAATTGTATAATTTCTTTAATGATGCTTCTTGCCCTGGTTAACCTTTTAATGACTGATTAAAAAGGTATTTAAGGATAAGTAACATTATTTTGATAGTGCCAAAGCGCAGAATGTCTAAAATAACCACAACAAAATCAAAATAGGTAAGGATTCGAATTTTTGAAAATTTTGAAATCTCGAATCATATTTTTGATTTGATTTGATTCAAAATTTCAAAGCTTCGCAGAGCCCTAATATATATATATATATATATATATATATATATATATATATATATATATATATATATATATATATATATATATATATATATATATATATATATATATATATATATATATATATATATATATATATATATACATATATATATATATATATATATATATATATATATATATATATATATATATATATATATATATATATATATATATATATATATATATATATATATATATATTACCTTTAACCTTCTTTTTGTATCTTTTTAAAACATTGCAACACTTATCATTCTTTAGTAGAAATATTGGTTCTAAAACCTGCTCACGATGATAACAAATAGAATTTATCTCTTCATTTGATGTAGTCTCAAGCAAGCCAGACCTCCAAATATAAGTATCTTGAAATTCCTTTTCTAGATTACAAAAATCTTTTAATCCTTGTTTTCGAACAAAACATATTTTGTGACATTCATCATTTAAAATTTTTTTAATTCCACAAGATTTCATTTTATCAATATACTATTTTTTATTATCCCTAAAAAAGATGCAAAAAAAATGTATGATTCACTCAATGTGTTCATGGGGTCATGGTTGTTCAGGATTAGAAATTTTAACTTAATTAGTAAGCATTTTAACTTTAATTTTACAATATAAACATTTCTAAATCATAAAACTACTAAAAAAAAAAACAGAAACAGCAGTTCAACAACATCTAAAAAAACATTTTGATATAGCCAAAACTGTTTCAGTTACAGAACTCTCAAATTACCACATTTTTTTTATAGTTTAATTTATCAAAATACCTGTTTTTAAACAATAAATTTAATTAGATTTGACCATGTTTTTATTTCTGTTTTAGAAAAGACCTCTCTCCAATTCTTTGTAATAACTATAACTTAACTATTCAGGACAACTTCTAAAAATATATATATATATATATATATATATATATATATATATATATATATATATATATATATATATATATATATATATATATATATATATATAGAGAGAGAGAGAGAGAGAGAGAGAGAGAGCTACATTGGCAATTTTGTGATTGGACTTGCCCCATTAAAATTGTGGTAAACATTTAAGTTTTAGGTGTTATGTTTGTTTTTAAATATTTTAAGTTGTTTCAATGGATTCGTTGGCCCAAAATATGTAAAGGTACAAATTTTCAGTTTTCCAACACACATATAACAGAAACTAGGACCGAAACCATTTTTAAAAAAGGCCGATTTTTGTTGGTTTGAGGCAAACTTAAAATAGCTATATCTCAGGAACCGATTAAAATTCGACGATAAAATTTTCAGGATGTTCATAATTTACTAAAATCTTTAGGTGGTTTAAATATCAGCAAAATCTGAGACTTAGGGTTCCAATTTCAAAAAAAAATTGATGTTTTCACATGGAATTGCCCATAGTTTAATTTAAGTTTTAATTTGAAGCATTATTTGGTATTATTATGGTGTATTATTAATTTGGTCAGGGGGTATGTAAAATTTAATTAAATACAAAAAGCTTATGAGTTTAGATTTCATTTTTTTTTATTTAGAGAGTGTTCCAATGTTGCATAGTTTTAAGTTACAAAATTTTATAACAAATATTTATATACTGATTTTAGGCTGCACAGTTCCTGTTGATCTTGGATTTTTAATTGATGCATCTGGTAGCATTGGCGCTGTTAATTTCCAAAAGATTTTACAGTTTGTTGCTAAAATTGTTGATGCATTTCAAATTTCTGAGAATGGAACTCATGTTGGTGTTATATATTACTCAGACAATGCAACAGTTGCTTTTGATTTTAACTCATTGAAAGGAACTGCTCTGAATAAAGACAATGTTGTTAAACAAATAAATAAAATAGCAGTTACTGATGGACAAACTAGAATTGATATGGCATTGCAACTTGCAAAATCACACCTTTTCAATGTTAAAGGTGGCATGAGAGAAGATAAAGCAAAAGTAACTTTTTTTTTACTTTTTTAAAATGATGATAATACATAATTTTTTCATTATCAAGATTCAGTGCAGCAAGAATTTTATTAAATATGTTTTATTGTTGGATCAAGTTATGGAATATTATTTTGTGTTTTAAGAAATTTTTAGATAATTCATAAGAATATTACACCAAACCAGTGTTCCTGTATAACTGTGAACCTTAATAAATCAACAAGACAATTATTTTTGTTTATTCTTGATAAGTTGCATTACTTATCCCAAGATTCTTTATGTGTTTTATAGCTGCAATTGTTTTTTAAGTTTATTTTATTTTGCAAATTTATTCCCAGTAAGGGAATGAATTTGCAATATAAAATAAACTCAAAATTTATTTTAAATTATTTTATTTTGCAAATTCATTCCCAGTAAGGATGCAAGTAATAACTTTTTAACAGAAAGCAAAGAAGACAGTTATAGAAAGAAGAAGAAAGCAAAGAAGACAGTTATTGAAAGAAGAAGAAAGCAAAGAAGACTTGAAAAACTGTAAATTAGTTGTAAATTGTATAAGTCAAGAAAGCACGAAAGCATGAAAAATTTAAAAGATGTTTAAAAAAAAACCTAGATAAATAAAAGTTTTTTGAGTATGAAGGAACAGTAAAAAAAATTTTAGTAAAGTTATGCATGATTGAGTTTTGGTTGAGTAAGTAATGATTAGAAATAGCAGCTGCATAAAAAGAAAAAAACTATGGGGTAGAGTAAGGTAGAGAGTAAGGCTTAAATCAAAACTGACAAGAGAGAATAGAAGATTTTATGTTTTCCTAAATCCAGGAAATTATGTTGGAGGTGTAATTTTCTTTTTTTTTTTCAAAGGATCATTTTAGAAGAAAATCACAAAGAAATCAGCATTAAGGTAGTAGTAAGTGTAATATAAGAGTAGAAGCTGAGGGTTAGAGACAATACACAAATTAAAGAGTGATAATAAATGAAGAGGATTGTTTCGAAAAAGAGTCACAAAGTTACTTTTCTAAAGATTTAGAAAAGTAACTTTGATTTCAAGAGATTTAGAAAAACAAAAAAACCTCAACTTTAGTTCCAGTCAGTGAATATAACTAGAAATACTACTAGAAATATAAGTGATAGCAATTTATATTACATATAAATTGCTGTTTTAGTTGTTAAAATTCAATTTTAACTATAAAGTGTAATAAATAGTAAAAAATTTTTTACATTTGTATACATTACATTATTTCACTGTGTTTTAAAAAAAAAATGGTGAAAAGCAAAATCGAGACAATAGCATATAATAACTAATATTCTGAACAACATCAATTATTGTAAATTAAAAATTTAATTTAAGAAAAAGTCTAAATAATGATTTTAAGTTTAAATTATGTTTTTCATGTTATAGCAACAATGCTGTCTGCTCTAGTTAATGTTACAAAAGCTAGTCCCTGACTTTTCCCTGACTTTAGATAGTCAGGGAAAAGATAGGGAATTCTGATTAAGAAGTTACTTGTTTTACAATTAAGCTATTATGTTTTTGTTGGTGCTACCCATCTATTTTGACAATTAAAAAATACCCCACAGTGTTTCACAGGAAGGCATGTGAGCTAATACCTTTACATGACCATGGTTTTTTAATTTTTCTAAAACTTTAATATTTTTTAATTCATTTATATTATGCAAAACGCTTTCAAATCAACTAACAAATTACTTTGTTTAATAATAATGATTGTTTTCATTAAACTCATTTTATTTAAATTATCTTTGGTTGTTATTTTAAATTATTTATGGTTGTTTTTTTAAATTATCTATGATTGTTATTTTAAATTATCTATGGTTGTTATTTTAAATTATCTATGGTTGTTATTTTAAATTATCTATGGTTGTTATTTTAAATTATCTATGGTTGTTATTTTATTATTACAATAATAGTAAATGTTTCTTTTTTTTATTTATTATAAAAAAAATATTTCCCTCTATATTTTTTTATGATCAATTTCATTTGTTTAAAACTATTTCTATAATTTATTTTATAAACAACAGCAACTTTAACTTTAAACACTTTTGTGTCTTCAAAGCGAAAAACTTTCACGGTTTTTTATTTAAAGTTACATAAAGATTCAAACTTTGTTGAAACTTTTGAAAGTAAAAAAAAGTACTGGTTTCTATAAGCATTATAATAACTATTAGATTAAAATCCTTATGAAAAGAAATTTTGAAAATGAAAAAAGCTTTTAAATGCTAAAACAATAAAATTTGCTACACTGCCTTATGTCAGAAATATGATTAATTTTATAATATTTTCTTTCTGTTTTTAGAATTAAAATAATGAATAAAATAGAAAAAAAGGCTTATTTCAAAGAAGAATAGTTAAACAAAGACATTTGTTTAACACCCTCATTATATTTATACACATATATTTTTTAAGATATATAATTAAACTACAGACATATACAAATATTAAAACATGTAATTTTTAAACAAGTGGAACTACCTCAACTATTTCAGTTTGAAACAATGAAACAATAATTGTTAGGCCAAACAAGAGGACAGCAATGCAACTGCCTGATCCTTTCCATCGGAAGATTGAAATTAAAGGAAAAACACCCATTAGAGATGGAAAAAAATGAAGAACAAAGCTCTGATAGGCGTTGCTCAAAATGCCTTTCTCTATTATAATTATAATATCTATTATAATTGGTAGGGGTCTACCTCATACATGCTCTACTGCTCAGTTTCATGAAAATTTACGAATTTTGGCAGCAGGTGATTACACAGTTGCAGAACAAGTTGCATCATCAGCAATTGCAAACAAGGAATCATCTCCTTATGGAACAGTTCATCTTGCCTAAGCCAAGGGGGGAAAATCTCTGCCAATAACTCCAGGTAATGTACCTCAAAAATTTTTTAAAATTTAGGTTTTGGAAATAATTTTAAAGAGGCTTTGTGTTTTTATAGGACCATCAAGTTCAAGGCAACTTTTCAAGGATCATCCAGTTGTCTCAGCAAAAGATCTTGCTCAAATTCAGATAAATACAGGTTTATCAAACACTGGGATTAAAAAGTTGACATCTACACTGAACCATGGTACTGCTGCAAAAGTTTTTGAGCCAAATATTCTTAAGAAGTTTCAAGAACTTGGAAAGAGCTTGGGAGATAATTTCACTCAGACTAACATGACATTTACCTCCTCTGATCAGACAAAATCAAACTGCATTATTGCTCATTGCAAAAACTTGAACAGTCTCATTGAAGAGCTTCTTCTCTCACGTAAGATTTTTTCACAACACACCATCAAACTTGGAATAGATGGTGGTGGAGGATTTTTAAAAGTTTGCTTGGGTGTCTCTTTCAAAGAAGCGCAATATGGAGAATGTTCACCTCCCAACAAACGTCTTCTGACATCTCAAGCCTCTAAAGATTCTGGAGAAAAAACAACTTCTCGTGGCTATTGCAGAAGGAGTTCAAGAAAACTACACAAATGTTAAACTCATTCTCTCACTTCTTGCCATTAAAGATGTCAATTTTGTTATCTCTTGTGATATGAAGTTGGCAAACATCATTTGTGGCTTACAAGCACATTCTTCTTCCCATCCCTGCACTTGGTGCAATGCAGAGAGTTCAAACCTTTCAAATTGTGGGACACTTCGAATTTTTGGGTCTTTGAAGCAGTCTTTCAATGATCTTACAGCAGCTGGCTCAAACACAAAAAATGTTAAGAAGTTTGGAAATAATGGTTCATGAACGAATAATCTCACTTGTTGATTCTGCCTTTGTCTTTGACCTTATACCACCAATGGAGCTTCATCTGCTTTTGGGAGTAATAAACTATCTCTTCAAGATTCTCAAAAACACGTGGCCAAAAGCAGATGAGTGGCTTCAAGCATTGAACATAAAAGCTCAGGCCTTTTATCGAGGACAATTTGTTGGAAATGATTGTCATAAACTGCTTAAAAGACCTCAACATTTTGCAAACTCTGGCAGAAAAAGATGCTGCCTTGCAGGTCTTTCCAATTATTGAAAGTTTTGGAGAAGTTGTGTCAGCATGTTTCGGCAACAAATTAGATGAAAGCTTTGTCGAAAAAATTGATGCTTTCAGAAGCTCCTTTTTAGCTCTACCATTTGGGAGCTGACACCCAAGGTGCACACTGTTTTTTTCCACGTAAAAAACTTTGTCTTAAAAAAAAAACTTCTCTCAGAATTTATAGTGAACAGATAACAGAAGCCATGCACCATCATTTCAATACTCATTGGACAAGATACAAGCGCCCTATTGGTCATCCAGAATATGGACAGAGGCTTGTTCACTGCCTTGTGGACTTCAACAGCAAGAATTTTTGATAAAATTAGTCATGGTGAAGAGAAAATTAAAGAAAATCCAAAAATCTCTTCTTGCAATTGATTTTACATGCAGTTTTGTTTCCAAATCTGAATTTTTTCGTGAATATTTATGTTTTGAAAACTTTATTGGTTCATAGAAAAGTTTTAATTTTGAAGAATACTGTAAAAATGCAAAATTTTTGAATGCTGTCATTTCGCATTTCAGTGCAATAAATAATAAAATTCAACATTGTTTTTCTTTCTCGGACGTAATAGGATGATTTGATTTTTGGTGTTTCTGGAATCCCCAGGTCATAAGCTTTCACAGGCATATGGCAGTTTCTCCGGGAACAGACTTGACACTTATATACGGTTATAGGAGGACAGTGAAAAATAACACCCAGGCAAAATGCAAGTTATGCCATAAAATAATTGAACTTTTGAACATGGGTATTCAAGCAATAAAAGGTCAAGAGAAAAAAAAAACATTTCAGTTGCAAGAAATTTGTCTTGTTTATTTAAATAATCTGCATCTATAAATAATAATTCACCTAATTGAGTGGAAGAGTAAAAAAATTTAAAGATAACCACTCATGTGATAACCTCACATGAATGAAAAAAACAAAAAAACAATAAAAATCTTGTGCAATCGATTAAGGGTATTCTTTGGATGTTCATTAAATCTGAAACTATTGAAGCTT